ATGTCACTCGCACGAGCCAGGAGGTGAGGCTGAGGAGCCTAACGCCAAGGGAGGCCCGGAAGGAAAAGACTAGAAATCGGACCTTCTCGGCGGTGGCTCCTCGTCTTTGGAACAACCTACCTCCTGAGATTCGCGCGGCTCCCTCGCTGGGCATTTTTAAGAAACAATTAAAAACATGGATGTTTAGGCAGGCCTTCCCAGCAGATAACTCCTGACGCCTTTTCCCTTCTTCTACAGCTCTCCCATTCTGTTTGTATTTTCTGTTATGTAAAATGGGTTTATATGTATATAATTGTATTATTGTTATGTTGTTAAGCTGCCTAGAGTGGTCCTAACAAGACTAGATAGGCGGGATATAAATTAAATTAAATAAATAAATAAATAATAAATAAACTCTAGATAAATGCAAGTATAGCTGATACCTTTATAGGCCACTAATAAAAAATAAAACATTCAGACATTCTGCAAGCTTTTGTGGATGAATCCCACTTCTTCAAAGCAAGTACCAAAAGTCCAAATACTCATGGCACGAGATGTTTACCACAAATATTTGGACTTTTGGTGCTTGCTTTGAAGAAGTGGTATTCACCCACAAAAGCTTTTATAATGTATGATTTTTTAAAAAAAATTATTAGTGGCCTATAAAGATATAACTCTAAAGTGTACAATATAATGCATAAGACTAGTGGCCTTGATAGATAGATAGATAGATAGATAGATAGATAGATAGATAGATAGATAGATAGATAGATAGATAGATAGATAGATAGATAGATAGATAGATAGATAGATAGATAGGAGAGAGAGAGAGAGAGAGAGATAGGGAGGGAGGGAGGGAGGGAGTATAATAAATAATTGTGTGCCATCAAGTCTATTCAGACTTGTGGCAATTGTTTCCAAGATATTCTAGGTATAGAATTCACAGAAGTGATTTATCATTCTACTCTTCTGGGGGTGCCTTGGGACTGTACAGCCTATATAGGCTGGCTGTGGGAAATCAAGCTCTCAACCTCTGTCTCCACAGCCAGATACCTAAACCATTGAGCTATTGAGCCAGCTACAAGTAAATAAAATGTTATTATGGTGAATGATCAGTACAAAAAATAATAGATGAAATCTATAATAATCTTAGAATTGCAGAGCTGGAAGAGGCCCTAGGGATCATTGAGTCCAGGCGATGTCAAGGAGGCACAGTAGGGAACTAAACAACCAACTTCTGGCTCCAAAACCAGATATCAAAACCACTGAGCTGTTCAGCAGTTCTACACTAATTCTATATTTAAAAGCAATGGATCTTTAACAGGAAAAGATTGTATGTTTATTCCAACGTGACCATGTCTCAATCGACATTTGGCAAATTAGCTTGCTTTGTTTTATACTTGATCATTTGGGAGATAGCATGTCTTTGTTCTCATGTCTAATGTCTCAGCCACATAGCACTGAAATATTTGCAAGCATAGAAGCATTGTAATAGAAAGAAATACACTTTTACCTTAATGTGTAATGTGAAACTAACATCCCTTGAGACTTCAAAAATACCTAATGGTGAAAATCCTATTGAGTTTCTGTGTCGCCCATAACACTGGCAAATTGCTGTAAGTTAAATTCGTGGAGACATTTACTGTTCTATTACAGCAAATCATAAATGCAGATGGGTGTAACTAATAAGGTTTTAGCCAGTATATGAATTGTGAGAATAGGATTGTGCCTTAGGTCATCACTACAACTGTTCTAACAATGCACCAGCAACAACATCACAGGCATAATCCTGTGCAATGCCATTTGTTTCACACAAGCAGAAACTAGTTCTTGACATTGTTTCTTTTAACTATGAGAGACTGCTTTCTTTTCAGAATTATACTGAAGCTTTTAAATACTTCCAAAAAGCAGCAAAGAAAGGATCTGCCAATGCCCAGTTTCAACTAGGAGTCATGTATCATAGTAAGCCTACTCTAGCTGTGCTTTTCTTTTCTTCCCTTCTCGATTTTGTTATTTCGTTAGGCATTTTAATAACAAAGTCAATGACTCCAAATTAAACTTGATTTGCAGCTGGATCGGGAGTAAAGAGAGATTTTAAACGTGCCTTCCAATATTTTTACTTGGCTTCTCAAAATGGACAAGCTCTTGCTCTTTATTATTTGGCTCAAATGTATGCCACAGGAACTGGAGTCCTGAGATCATGCCAAAATGCAGTTGAAGTAAGTAACAATGCCCTGTTTGAAAGTCTGCATTTTAAGATAATAGCTTTTATTGTACTTGGTATGGCATGTGTTTGTGTCCAATATAAATGATCACTCTCAGACAAAGGGATACATGCACAGAAACCCCTACAAGAGCTCATTAAAGTTAATCTGGATAAAGCCCACTACCATCAACAGGTTTAGCATGGTTAAAGGGGATTCAGATAGTCATGAAAGGAAAATCCTTCTGCCCTTACTTTTCTTTCATTTTATAACTTACTAGATGCCTTTGGCTGAAATCCTGTTGCTTAGTGTAGTCAGTCAAATCAGAGCAGGTCCCTTGAACCTGTGGGAATTTGGGGAGTCAGTTTCTCAATAAATTCAATTGTTTCAAATGGACCTGCTCTACTTGCAACTTAAAGTAAACTTCAAGTAGTGTAGGCCCATTTGAATCAATGCAATGTATAGGGGAGTTGATTCACCAAATCTTCATTGTTTAATTGGACCAACTCTAGTGTGACTTACTTATGCTGAGAAACAAGATTTTGACCATTGAATCCTGCTTGAGAGGCTTTCCATTTGTTCTAAAATGGAATGGAGGTCAATGGATCCTGGCTGGCATGATGTCAAGATTATTTAGTCTAAAGCCATTTTTACAGTACCCCCCGCTTCTTTTTTCTAGCCTTTTCAGAATTTGCTCCAGAAGAGTTCCCTACCTCCAGAGCAAATTCTTGCAAAGGGAACTACAGAGGAAAAAGGGAGAATCTGTTCTCCTAGCAGAAAAACATCTGGAATTTTACCTGTTGAGCTTCAAATGGGTTATTCTCAGGTGAATGGATATAGAACTTGGATTAGTCCTTCATCCTGTATAATCACATTCAGCTCCACAAGAAGACAAAGATCTGTTTACCATCCCGGCCAGACAATGTTCCATCCTCATGCATGCAACTCTTTGGGCTATTCTACTTACATCCTAATGTTTCAAAAGAGTTTGTTCTGTTACTACATTGTCTGTCATCATAGGAATGACCCAGTTGGATCCCACTCATTGTGTTCACTGTGATTTATCCTCAGACAAGTATGCTAACGAAGCTTTCTTGAATCAGAATGAAGATTTTTATTGGAAAAAGATAAAGAAGAGTAATTAGCCACCCATGTTCTTTTTCATCCTACCTCCCAGGATTGTTTTAGGTAGGATAAAATGGGGATAAGCCCATCCCTGACTGCTACCAACAATGAAAGAAGAGTGAGATTAAATATAACAACAAAATAAGCAATAGCATCCTACCTTTAAGGCAAGAAGAATTACACACGTTGTGTTTTATTTTTCTGTGTTTTATGCCTGTTGTTCTGCTACTTAGCTTTACAGAACTATAGGTGAGCTAGGAAGATGGTCAGAAAAATTCCTGACAGCATACTCTGCTTATCAGGCTGGGAATATTGATTCATCTCTTATCCAGTATGCATTTCTAGCTGAAATGGGCTATGAGGTAGCTCAGAGCAATTCAGCCTACATTATGGAATCTGGTAAGAGAAACATATTATTCTACTTCTTGTGTTGTTTTACTCAGCAATTGTATTAAGACAAATAATGCCAATATCTTGTTACAGGAAAGGTTAAACTTCTCCAGAAAGATCAGATATATCCACTTGCTCTTCTTCTGTGGAATCGGGCTGCAAGCCAAGGTATGAACGAAGTTAAAAATATCCTGTACCTAGCTGTCCACACTTGTTAATATGATTTTCTCCATTTCTGCTCTTGTAGTTGGATAGGAAGGAAATACTGTGTTCAGCCATCCTCATGATATGTTTTTTCCTCTAATCAGTGCATGAAGAAGATAGCATTCTTATAAGTTTTTATTTAATATAAAGGATTGTATTTGAAAATAAAATGATCTCCTTTGAACATAAAAATACTGTACTGAATTTGGTAAAAAATAATCAGTGATATGCCTTTGAATCTATAGTTCTCTTTTTGCAAGCTCTTATTTTATCAATCCCAATGCATGTTTACAGAACTTTGGATAACCTTCAAAATAGGCTGGAGGAGTACTCTCATCTGTCTTAGCTCCCACGGAATCACACATCTTACCTCTTCCTACTTTATTTTAGTAGTGATAAAGAAAGGTTATAGCTTAAATTTTTTTACTTCATTGCTTTTTCACATGAGCCACTCTTTCTGTCAGAGGTATGATAAGATGGTTTGAAAAATGCTACCCTATGTTTGTTAGAACTATTTGTTCAGTTCCTTGACATGCCTTTCAAAGTCCCTTGGTGGTGTTCAGAATATAGATATAAACCCACTGAACAATGAAGAATTAGCTACCATGAACCTCTGATCCCCACTCAAGCAGAGCTACTAGCTATGTCTTGCCCACCATGCCCTGAAGGTGACTGCATTCTCTAGAAGAGTGCTCTCAGTGTGCCACATTCTTAGGCTTGACTTGTCCCAACCTATCTCTTTCTTAAGATCCATGAAATAGAGGGAACCTAGTTTTCAGCATTTCCTTGCCCTTGATTTGGTCTTAGTTTATCTGTACTGTTCTGCTCTGTGCAAGAAATATATAAGAACAGTCCTCTGTTCTGTTAAAGGCAATTCAACATAACAAAACTGGAAAACAACCACAGCTTGGAGATAATGGATTAGAACTAACTATGTTAAATTAATTAGTTTTTGGGAACAAAGACAGAAAAAGGCTTTAAAATGTATTAGTTAAAAACAAGAGAGTTGCTCATTAAAAAAATGTTACTTTGGTATACCCTTTGCAGAGAGCACATGTTACTCCATACTCCCACACCCCAAGGACCTATGCTTGCCCTTTCAAAATTAGATATATGCCAGTTAGCCAAACTGTGGCCCTATGACTACATTTGGACTATATCTCTCAGAGGTCTTAATTAGAACTGCCAAGAATGCAGGGAATCCGGGAGTTACAGTTCAAGATCACCAGGGCCCCTACAACTGGGAACCATTGCTCTATAGAGGCCCAATTGTCTATTCCCAGTTGTACTTCTTTAGCAAAACTCTATAAAAAGTTTGACAGAGTATAGGTATGGCTAGAACCTTGCTCGTAGTCTGTATGCCCTATCTCATCCAAGGAGATCAGCGAAATCAAGTGACCAACTCCTATTTTTCCCAAATCAGTTCAATAAGACTGTCCACGAGAGAGAACCAGAGAAGATGACTGTCATTCTCCCATGGAAAATATTTGAAAAATAATAGAATGCAACAGCTCCTCTGCAAGATAAAGCACGGATGATTTGCATAGTTCTTACACTAAAGGTCTCTGCAGAGCAGGAAAGAAGGTTCATCCCAGAGGGGCATTTAGTCATGCAAATTTGCATGTTTAAATGAAACTGAAAATAAATGAGATAGGGGAAGGGGGGGAAAACTATTTGTGCAAGGATAGGTTTCTCCCCCTTATTGTTGTAAGTCATGAAGATATTCTATTGAACTGGCACACATAGACAGCTAAGCTGCTACTTAGAATCCAGTGACTTTAAGAGGCAGACTACACACAGCGTGATCCTCCAGATGTTGTTGGACCTCAACTCCCATCAGTTCTAGCAACCACAGCTGATGGGTGTTGCAGTCTAGTTTGAAGGGCCAAAATCAGTTTACTGCTGCTTTACGGAGTACTGTACTACCAGATACAGGTATGGGTAGATTCTTTCTAAGAGGTCAAGAACATCTGCAGTTAGATAGGTGGCAGTTGTGCTGTCCTGTCTGTGCAACACCCTTCTCAGGTAAATCTATCTGCTGCCATATTTTCAAACAAATGGAGAAAAATATTTAGGTCACAGGTTTATAGACACAATGGATACAACTCTATAGGAAGGTTTGACAGAGTATAGGAGGTGGGATCAGCATGAAATAGAATGCAGGTGACCACAACTGCATTATTAAGACTGGTAATGATCTTTCAAAGTGTTGATTATACTGACATCCAGGCATTAGTAAAAGAGGTAGCCATCTGATGCTATAGCTCACAATGAAATACATCACTTGATCTTAAGTCAACAGGCTTTCTTTTGTATGGTCCTGTGTTATAAACAGGTAAGCCTTATGTTGAAAAGCCTTGACATGCATGAAATAAATATATTCTTTCCCAACTATTTGTCTTTTAGGCAATGCATTTGCCAGAATTAAAATAGGAGATTATTACTTCTACGGCTTTGGAACAAAGATAGATTATGTGACAGCAGCAGTTCATTACAACCTTGCAGCTAATCAACAGAATGCTCAAGCTATGTTCAATCTGGCATATATGTATGAACATGGGTTAGGCATTCCTAAGGTAACACCATATACATCTGGCTACTCTAGCTTGGACTAACACTGGATTCATCCAAACATTGTTAAAGAACTATTGATTGCAAACATTGTTAAAGAACTATTGATCCTATAGGAAAAAATTGAAGAATGGGAAAAAGACTTTCGAAATGGGTAGGGCACTGACCTACCAAAATGGAGCAGGCAGTGTTGCAAACAATTAGTATGCTCAAAAATAGATAACAGGCACAATTCCAAGCCTGAAGAATTGGAAAAAAAATCTCCAAGAATTGGAAAGTTAGTGAATCATGAGATTTGTCAGCAAACTGGTGAAATATAAATTAGCCTTATGGGGAGCTAACATTGTACTAATAGCAAGGTATCACCGGTTGTTGTAAGTCCATTCTTTGCTTATGTACCTTCTGCACAAGCGGCAAGTACTCCTGTGAACATATGAGAGCAATACTTCCTTCTATAAATTGGGCCTCAGACTTCCCTCCCTTTGGCTGTGGGTAGCTGCCATTTAAAGGGGGATACTGAAGAATCACCATGCAAAAATGAAACAACAAATCCAGTGATTTGCATCTTGATCTATATTACTGAACTATCTTTGGAAAAATAACATACTTTTCATAAATAGAATCTTGGGTTGACTAATGTTTATAACACAAGAAACAGCTTGAAGTCTTGGCTATGTGGAGGGGGAAGGAAAGGGGAAATTTTGTTACACAAGTGGGTATTGGGTGTAGTTTTTTATTTTAAAGCATATGAACTGTGCATGCTAGCAAGAATTTGGTTCAGTCAACAGAATTTTATAACTCTTGTCTTTTCCAATATCAGTCAAAATCATTTTCTGAGTTGTGTAGTTACATTGCTTCTGGAAAATGTCTACATTTCAGAGGTTTAGGCTACAAGTTCAACCCTATACATGTCTATGCGAATTTATGCTCCATTAAGTTCAATGGGATTTAGTGGCAGGTAAATATGTCTAGGATTGTAGCCTTAACTTCAGTTATATATATATCGCTTTCAAATGTTAGAAAATGTTTTCTATTTTTAGGATATATATTTAGCTAGAAGATTGTATGACCTGGCAGCTGAAACAAGCCCAGATGCTTGTATACCAGTGTTCTTAGCCAGTATAAGACTTGAAGCTATGCATGTGCTCACAGATCTGCAACTTCTCAATGTAAGTCTGATTTACACATACCCAATCTGTTGCAAATTTAATAGGGCCTGCTGTTCCGAAAAACTTGCCTTCTGAGATGGCTGTTCCTTTATACTGATACATTTTTAAATGGCTGTCAAATCTTGAATGCTGTTAAATTATTTTTAACATTCAAGCCACCTAATGCTGACAAAAATGTAAAAGTTGTTGCTAATTGAGAGTTTACACTAGAGCTATTTCCTTAGATGCAGGATCCCTACAATCTAAACTACCAAAGTGTTATTATAAATCCCAGCTTTAGCTTGGAAGGGCTAAAGTTAATAGGCATGTAACTTCCATTTCACAGGCTGGAGAACTTCTACTAAGTTATATTTGTTTAGTAACAAGGGGAGAATTTAGTTATGTTTCAAAACAAAAGTAGGAATGGCATTCCTTTTCTAGTGCAACAAATAATGTATTCTAGGTACAGTATCTTTAAAAGTGATTTTTAAAGGGCATTTTAGAGGAACTTTGACAGAATTTTTAAAGTTTTACACTATTCTCCCTGAAACAATCTGTGGTGTTTGAAGGGTGAGTCTATAACACACATGTTGTTGGAAATAGGTGGAGATGCAGCAGACCAGTGGCAAAACCAAATTGCACAGATTGTTTGATACCATGCATCGAAGATGGCTTTCCCCCACGTGGCATTTTCTAAGTTTGTTGTAAATCCCAACATCCCCAGCCAGCAACTAGATTATGGTATTTCTATGCATCTGAAAAGTGCCAGATTGGGAAAAGCAACATAAATTCCCAGAAGAGGACTTTTGAAGGAGTCAGTAGGGATGTCAATGGGGGAACCTTTTAGGTTTCATTTCTTTTAAGTTTTATTGTGAGGAGGTGCCTCATTCTTTTTCTCTCTCTCTCTTTTGGATACCAGTTCTTTTGTTGAACATGAAAGAGCCATCTTTTTTAGGTTCTTGCATTTTGTTTCCATCCACTTATGTTGTGTTTGGCACTCATCCAAAAACTGTAAAGAACCCTTAAAATATTACAAAAAAGTAGGGCCAAGGCAGGCAACAGAGAATTAGTTCAAAACCCCAAAGAACCCTTTAAAACTGTTTTTAAAAAGCAGGGACAAGGTAGGCAATCCACAGCAAATGAATCAAATAACACAGTTTTTATAAACCAGTATGATGGAGAAATCTCTCTCTCTCTCTCTCTCTCTCTCTCTCTCTCTCTCTCTCTCTCTCTCTCTCTCTCTCTCTCTCTCTCTCTCTCTCTCTCTCTCTCTCTCTCTCTCTCTCTCTCTCACACACACACACACACAGAGAGAGAGAGAGAAAGAGAGAGAGAAAATAAAATACAGTACATACACCTTTCTCTTCTCCAGAAACCAAGAAAAGCAAAGAAGCAAATAAAGATACAGACAGAATTACTGTACTTGAATATGAGGCGATTTCTCTCTCTTCAATCAATTATGTCTTCTCTTTCCCCCCTAAAATCTACTGCCAGCAAAAATAATCCAGGAAAGAAAAGGAGGGAGGGGAAAATTCCAAAAAATCAGGGAAGGGAAATAAAAGAACATGATCCCAAGGAGACATACTGCTCCCTAAAGCAGGCTCCCACAAGCAAACACAAGCCTAAGAAATGGGGTATGCGTGTGGGAATCCTGCCAAAAACAAAAAGAAAGGTAAAAAAGATTCACAAGCACAGGCAAAATGCCTAATCAGGATGGTGGTTACCACAGAGCTCAGCAGCACGCATATCCCACCTACAAGGAAGAACTGAAGCAAAGAACATTCTTTACTGGTGACAGCAGCTCTCACTACACTATTTGATTAAACGTTTCCCAAGAAATTTGACAAACAAGAGGTGAAGCATTTAGATTTCAGAGGTTCTGTTTTGGAAATTTAAAAAAATAATAATCTGAAAATGCAAATAAAGGTCTGTTTTGTGTTTCCCTGCATTTTTGTTAATCTGAAACTCCCATCCTTAAGAGTAAACAATGTAATATTCCTGTGACGTTTACCCTGTGGCCCCTGCTTGTTTCACCAAACACAGAGCTCACAAAGGCATCCCAACACGCTCTTTAACTCGCTGCCACCAGTTGCTCTCTTTATCAGCCTATATTTCCTATGAAAGACTGAGGTCTATTCGGTACTGAAGTTTAAGCAGGAACAGGTTTATTGATTACAAGTTGTTTTAGGAATATTTATTAAGCACATTCTTAAAGTTACACAAAGCTTCAGTATTTTACTTTAACCTCTTCTGTCTTAATTAATACAGGTCACACTCTGACTAATCACTCCTTAAACACTCTCTCTCCACCTCGGATCCCAAACTCTTTCTCCCTTCAAAACTCTGTCTCTGACTGAACTCGCTAGACTCTGACTCACCCCTCCCTTCTAGTTTCTCTGGCTCCGCCTCCCAACAGCTCTCATTGGTACATGCAAATACACTGCTGAATATTCATACCAGGGGTGATCGCTACAATGCCATCCACAAAGAGTGATATTAACCAAAGTATTAGATGCCATTTTCTCTGACATTCTTATGGTTCTTAATGCTAATGGTAGGAATCAGCCCAACAGCAATTCAGCTACAAAGGGTCAGTTGAAGTCAGTGAGAGAAGCAATGTGACATTTAGCTTCTCCCGCCTGAACAGCAAATGACACCTTATAATCCAATCAGCTGTCAGTTAAGTGGTTCCTCTGATTATCTCTGGAGGGTCAGGAGAAGTTAAATTATAATTTTTTTACATTGCTCTTCTCTCCCTCTGTCCATTTTCTCCCTCCCCACTGCTTCCTTTCCCTTGTTTCACCCTGATTTTCTCCCTCATTCTCCCCTGAAATCTGCAGCCACGATGGAAGTTGGAATCTGAGGCTGTTGGTGCTGGGATTCTGCTTGGATGTGTTTGTGTGTGTGTGTGAGTGTGTGTGTGTGTGTGTGAGTGAGTGTGTGAGACCACTGGTGGGGAGGTGACAAGAGGTATTCCTCTTTATGGAATGGAATGCTCTACTTGTGGAGGTGTGCCACACCCCTTCCCTCCTAATATTCAAGAAGCACATGAAAACTCTGCTTTTCAGGGAGGTATTTCAGGATATCCTCCCTTTATAATTGTTGGTCATTGTGGCGTTCACCTTTGTGGCACCTGTGTGTTTTGCCCCCACAAAGGCTCACATCACGTTTTCCTCTCACTGCCACCAGTGGATTACCTCAATCCACAATATAAATGGCATTTCTCAGGACACTTGTCTTGTGAATTCAAACAGAACTTATTTATTGAAGTGAATCAGATTTAATAATAACAGAAGTTCTTCAGATAATCATTGTACAGAAGCAAATAGTTAAATAAGAGTGATCAGCTGTACCAGACTGACAAGGGAATACAGTACATGGATACTGCAGTCCATGGAAATGACATGGGGCAGACTTCAGCCTGTGTTCCCCTCAGGACTTGAGCCCTTTCCTTCCCCTTTTCTGCCCCTGTTCCAAGCCCAACTGCCTCTTTTCAACCACCCTCTTCTCCTCTTCTCCCTCCTTGAGAGGAGCAAGCCAAAGAGTTGTGCAGCCAAGCACAACTTCCAAGTCAATGTGATGAACTACTTCGCTGCAGTTCTGTTTGGCCATATATAGCTTATCTGCCTAGACAGGCTAAATGAGATGTTAAATGAATTGTGCCAGAATGCATGCCCTAGCACTGTGCCAGACATGTGTGGCACAGCTCTTAAAGGAGAAAGATGGATCATTTTAAGTATAAACCATTTCAGAGAAGGTCTTTTTAAAAATCCAGTCTGTGCCATATACTGATCTATGCCAGTGTGGATGCCTACAGTGTCAGTTGCCCAGGTGCTAAAACAGCCCTGGTTTGAACTTAGGAAAGGAGAAATTGAAGAAGGAAGCCTTCAGGAGGCCCTTGAGAAAAAAAAAACTGTCCCAAGGCAAGCTCAGGTTTTGGTGTGGGTTAAAGAAAAGGTAAGCCTAGAAGAAAAGAGAGACAACCATGTGAATTTGAAGTTGGAGGTTAATTTCCAGAATGAGTGTCTTCTGCATAGAGAGGTTAGAAAGAGGAGTTTGTGTGAGTCTTATGGATGACCTTCCTTGTGTGTGAGATGACAGTGGAACTTCCAGGCAGAGGAGTTAATGGACGGTAAGTCCATTGCTCACAAGTCAAGTTCCAATGAGACTTACTTCCAGGTAAAGGAAGTAAAGGTAAAGGCTGCAGCCTTTGCCAGTTAGACATGTAGAACTGCTTAAGAAGAGAGTGGTCTGGAGTGTAAAGCAGGCTTCTAGAAATGATTTTGGAATTCCAAGCAGAGTAACCAGAGAGAGAAAACAAACAAATCAGGTAGCTCAGTATGCTTTGTCTGTTATACATAGCAAAATGCTAATTATCCACCCCACCTCCACCCAAATCTCCTTAATGGTGTTATTTTTCTTTTCCTACAATAGTTTACTGGAAACTGGAAACTGCTAGCACTCAACAGCATGCTAAGACACCACTGGGACCTGTTCCTGATGATATTAATTGTTGTTTTACTTACATTGTTAATAAACAATAGGCAAAATTAAATGGACTTAGGACAAAAGAAGTGAGCTCTTTTTTCGATGGCTTGTCCAAACACAATTTCATTCACTAATCCTTTAGCCTCTGTTGAGCACACACACCACTAATGGAAGATCTTAGCAGCGTCATGTCCCACAGACCACTTATATTTAAAGTGCAGCCAGAATGATTTTCATTGAATTCAGTGCTTTTTTATTGATTCAGTCTCATCAGTTAAACTGAATTTATACAGAACTTGGAAGTGACAATGGCCAGGCAAGCTGAAGGATTCTGGGAGTTGTACTACCAAAATCAAAGGACAGTGGGAGGGAGGCTTCCCTGTCCTGTCCATGTGCCCACCAATCAGCTGTTCAAATATCCTGATTTGTTTTTATATTCATCCCCATGTCCTGTATATGTAACAAAAATGTTGATTTCTCTGTTTCATGTGCCAGCATTTCATTATTAGTAGCATGATTGGAAGGCAGCTTAGGTCTGGCTTGAGTGGGATATTGAAATCTTAGCAGGTTCACATCTGTCACTAATAAAAATACATTGATTAACCTTGGTCTAGTCAACTTAAGAAAGAGACAAACCAAGCCTGCTATGCTGTGCTTTCTATAATTGGCCAAGCTAGATTACAATCTCTTCATAAGGATGCTTTACTGCATATTCATTCTCTTACTACTGTTTTGAGAGGTCAAGGTCATCCAGAGTTGAATGCTGTGATTTACATACAACTATAGTTTTTTCCAGATTGGCTCTTCATGATCTCTAGCTCATAGCCTGCTCAATGGGGTGGAAGTGCTAGTGAGAACTTAGTGGTGTGTAAAGCACAGAATAGAAGATAGAGGGGGCAATGAGAATTATCAAGGAGTCTGATTAATAGTCTGATGGCTGTTTCCTTTGAAAATTCAAATAACATTTCAAATTAAGCAGCTAATTGTTATAGCTTTCTCACAACCCGACCTCCCAATTTTGAAGCAGCTCACACAGTAGATAAGCCACAAATACGTGGTAACATACCCTAAGAACACAGATGAACCATTGCTTTCTCCGAGAAATTGGCAGGGCTAGTTTATGATCATTCATTTGAGTGAAGCTAAGTCTCAAACAGATGAAGCATTGGTTCTTCTCCCACATGCCAAGGAGGTTCCAAATGAGCATGGGTCTAACTAGGGTTTCTGTTCACGCTTATTCCTAAAACCTCATTTGTCTTCTTTTTATCTTTTAAAATAATGGTTAAAAAAATGACAAACAGCTTGAAGAAATTATTTTAAAGTGATCTTATGTGCTTTCTAAAAAAATAATAGATTAGCATTAACACTGAAAGCATCTAGCCGAGGCTTATTACGCCAATCTGGCCTTGGTAGTCAGATAGGCTGTATACAAATAAAATAAAATAAATAGATTTTGGAAATCAGCTGTGGCTCAGAACTCTTCCAAAAATGTTGAGAATTTTTTTTAAAAAAGTGGTCTTCTCTGGTTGGTTTGTTGTTCTTGTTGCTTTAATAGACAAGCACTAAACTGAAAGCTTCTGACTAGAGAAGTTTTCAATTTAGTGAAATTGGGGGGGCAGGAGTTTGTTTAAGAACCCAGAAAGCTTTTTGTCACTCTGCCAGTGTTGGTACCAATTTAAGCTTTGCATCATCTGAATTCCAGAAAAAAACTGTAGAATCATCAGGGCAGTTGAGCATTCAGGTGGGTCCTAAAATGGAATCTAATAGAGCCAGCATAACATAAAGCAATAGCAAAGTGTGCTGCTTATATACCGCCCCATTGCACTTAAAACACTCTCTGGGTGATTCACAAATTAATTATGCAGGGTACACATTGCCCCCCTCCCCATGAGCTGGGTACTTGTTTTAGTGACCTCAGAAGGATGGAAGGCTGAGTCAACCTTGAGCTGGCTATGTGGGACTGAACCCCGGATTGTGAACAGTTTTGGCTGTGGTAAGGCAGTGTAACCACTGTGCCACATGGCTCCTAAAATTTCAGAAATTCCTATTCAAATCCCCATTGAGACACGGAACTCATTGAGGGACCTTGACCTAATCACACAGTCCCATCCTGTTGTATCTCACAGGACTGTTGAGATCCAGTGGGAAGGACAGCTGTGTATGCTGGATTTAGTTCACAGTAGGAAAGATGTGGTATCAGTGTAAAAAATAGGGAGTTCAAAGATATCACAATAATTATTGCTATGTTTGGACATGAGCTGCTTTCAGCTGTCTCCAGGATATAGCCCACAGACTCACAGATTTTTCCACCTTATTGTGAAAAGATAAGCCCTATTCAGATACTTAGCCTGAAAGGATATAGGGCTCCAGTGGTGCCTTTATACATTGATCTTACACAGGGACCAAGGGGTTACAGGCACATTTAACTGAACATGTCTTTATATTTCTGTGATCAGGAGTGCTGTAAAAACATTCTGTTGAACATGCTTACAGCACTTATCAGACTTTCTGGATGAACACATGAAGGCTTAGAGGACTTGTGTGTTGGATGGGGGTGTGGGAAGCTTCTGCCCAAGTTAGGTGTTATCGGTTAACAGAGAAGAGCAAACTCTCCTGGCAGAGAGCAGCAGCTCCCAGGGGGCGGGGTGACTTCTCATTCTGCCTTTTCCCTTAGAGTTAGGGCATAGGCTCAAATACTTTCTCCGACCAATCCTAGTGGCGATTAGGTAACCAGTATCCTATCTGAATTCTTTCAACAATCTGTGTAACTGAGCTATGTTAATAAAAAGTGTTCTCAGGGCATCCCCTGGTGACTCTGCTGGCTTGGACATCTGTTGTCCACACTTCTTTGTTTTCTCTCTGAAGGCTAATTGCCTTCCCTTTGTTCTGTGATCACCCACATCATTCCTTCCTTTGCTCCAGGATCACCTACATGAGGGGGTGAAGGGTGGAGCTTACAGGCAAGCCTCTGTCCCCACCACTCTTTGAGCCGTACACACTTTCAGGATGAAAGCCTGAAGAAGGCTGGGTAAAGAAACATGGGTCACAACTGATTACCTGTAGAAAATGTAAACAATGCAATATTAACATTAAAAAGCCTGCCAGCCACAGTCCGCAATGCTCAGCAGGAACAAAAGGATTCTTCTTTTCAAAGCAGGGGTTCACCAATACTACTTTCTTCCAGCTGATCTTTCTCCATGGCAGATTACGTAAATCATCTTCTACAAGTTATTATGGGAATTGACAGCTACTATTATGCTTACACACAGATGCCCACATTTTATTCTAGAAGCCAATTAACCATTTTCTGTTGGAAAATTTAAGACTATGGTTTTAAGGAAGGCATGAAAATTTAAAGCATTGGTTACTGAGGCATCCAAAACTGAATGCCATTTTTCATTATTCCATAGGAAGACCACAAACACAATGGGGTGATGAACAATAGTGAATTAATGACTCTTAATAGTGAGTTAATGACTCTCACATAGACAGTTTATACAGATGAACACAATAGCATCATTTTATTTCGTTTTGCACAATAAAAAAATCATAGCTGTGTACTATTACCATTTGTATATGTAAGCAATGCCACTGAAATGGTAAAACATGAATATGTTGGCACTTTCTTCTGGGAGGTATGTATTCTGGGAAACACACAGTCATATGTAGTTCCAAAATGAAGTGACATCTGCCCATAATGCTAAGTCCAACATATTGGCCATTGTTTACATTCTATGTCAATGTTTTTTCCTTCCTGGAATAAATTCATTTATTTTGCTGAGATCACCAAAAGACACTGTTGCAGAACCTCTTTGCGCTGGTCTTGCCTGAACAGGAGATAGAAGGCATTAATATATGCAGAGCAATGATTTAATTGCCAAATAAAAGGTGATTAAAGGACATACAATATTTTTATTTAGGCATGTCATGGTGTGTACCAGAGAAAAGTGATTCACCTGTGATTCATGGAATTTCCAACCTATCATGTAATAGAGTTGAAATGTTGCAGGTACTGTCCCATCACTGTTTCCATACATTTCTATGAAAACAAAATATATGTATTTCAAAGAATATCAAAGAAATGCAACAAAAACACTTTTCATCTAGCCCTTGTAAAATCTGAAAATTATTTTGCAGCAATGAAGACATGCTTCAGGATACAGAAGAAAATCTGCTAAATTCCACTGACTTCCCAATCTAGATTCAGCCCCTCCACCGGCATTCCAAAGGGCCCATTTTGGGAGATGGTGCACAGGCTGTAATTGAAGGACAACCAGGAGAGACCCAAACAGAGGTCCTCTCAATCCCAATATTCAGCTTGCTCAGAATTAGACAGAGGCTGTACTATTCAAGTAGGCAGCCTCAATTGTTTTTTTGGTTTTTTGCTTAATACAAATATGCCCTCTTCCTAGATTCCGATGAACGGTGTAGTCACTAAACTGCTGAACACAACTATGAAAGTAGCCACATTTAAAGATATGCAGCAGTTGCGTCTAAACTGGTACTGTGGTGGCAACTGCCCATGTCCACACCAGTCATCCTCTAAATCAGCAATTCTCAATGAGAGTACAGTGTGCGTGTGTGTGGGGGGGAGTCCTGGCACATTTTATTCACACACCAGTTTATAAAGTTTGTTATTGATGTGCACAATCCTGATTCAGCCTATCTTTCTTTCATATTGTGCATGGCCGAAAAAAGACTGAAGATGGCTGTTTTAAATTATTTCTGTGGTTGAACATACAGTGGTGCCCCGCTTAACGACGATAATCTGTTCCAGGAAAATCGCTGTTAAGCGAAATCGTCGTCAAGCGAGACAAAAACCCCTTTGGAATGCATTGAAAACCGGTCAATGTGTTCCAATGGGGAAATACCTCATCGTCCAGTGAAGATTGCCCATAGAGAACCGCCAATCAGCTGTTTAGCGATTGCAAAAAACTCATCGTCAAGCAATTTCGATGTCATGCGGGTTAAGAGTCAAGCAGGGCACCACTGTATCCTTATTTTCTGTTGGCTGTTGTGCCACAAGAGAAAATAGAGTGTGTTTCTCCAACCAGCAGAAGCAGCTCCCTCTTTTTTCCTGCCATTAAAGAAAATGCTGTGTGTATCAGCACTGGAGTGCCATGTGTGTTACAGAATAACAGTCGGGAAAAAGAAGGAAACAGAAGGTGCTGAGACAACTGTGATGAAGACATTTATTTGCACGGTTGATAAAACCTAACTATGTACTACAATCATATTCAGAACTAACTACATCTCAAAAATCCATTCTTCAGCAAAATTCTGGAAAGCACTTATCTGCTCGTTTGAAGTCCAAGTTCACTTACCCTTGTATACTGCTGCTGCTGCCAACATGGTTGCCCTGTGCAGCATAGGTTTTCTGCTCCAAGAGCAATTATTCTCCCCCATACCTAAAAATAGTTTTCAGGCTTTAAAAGAAGATATATCATATACTGTGAGTTCCACATTGTGTTCCAAATCAACACTACAGCAATATGGCACAGGGGCAAATTGAGATTGTCGATAATTATACCATTGATGTTTACACAGAGGTCAGCTGATCCGAGGCTTACACTCAGATAAGTGTGCATTGTAGCCTCAGTAAACAAGGTCCGCAGCACTGTATAGTTTTTACAAAGAAGTGTGTATTTGAATAGCCAACATGCTGAGAACTAAATCTCACAACAGAATATAATTAAAATTAGACTGCTCTAGAGATTTGATAAATCACTTCCAATGAAAAAGGTTTGTATGGGTAGGACTACAATCTACACTCTAGTGTCATATGTAACTTAATCCAAGATGTTTAATACCACACTTCTGCCCTTTGACAAAAAAATCAACCTAGCCAGCTGTCAAAAACAAAAGAAAACATCTTTGAGTTCAGTACATTAAGACAAAAAGCGAAAGTACTGTTCAGCTTGACAAAAAAAGCAGACTGGAGATTCGTAACTGAGCAGACGTGCCATGTTGCTTTCTCAAGATGTATAATGCCAGTCACATATATTGACCAGAATCCTACTTTGTTCCACTCACCCAGCAGCTATGTTCCATGAGTGGCTTGACAGCTAAAGTGTCTGTATGAGGTCTGCATTAACTCCTTACACAGATGGAAGGCCCATGTGACAACAGATGCTTTCCACAATATCTACCTTTGCAAAAGAGACTGCCCAGAATTACATGGGCAATAATCCCACTGTCATATCAACAGGACACCGGCTGCCGTGCTTATATTTCATTCAACACCAATGCAACCCTAAATGGCATCACAAAATAATCTTTTGATAAATTTGTAGACAATACCTACAGTCTTTGCTATGGGTTAGTCTCCTGGAATGACTCTTGGCAAGGCTAAGCATGGTATTAGGTAGCTGCCTGCAGAGCCAGAAGTTGGGACTTCAATTCCCCACTGTGCTTCCTGTGAGTAGAGCCAGCCTGTGTAGCCTTGGACAAGCTGTACAGTCCCAGGTCGCTTGCAGAAGGGAATGGTAAACCACTTCTGAGTATTCTCCACTGGAAACTCTGAAAAAGGGTCACTTTAAGTCAGAATTGACTTGATGGTGCATGATGATTTTTATTATAGGAGTGGGACTATTATGTTGCACTTTTCATTAATCTCTCTATGGTGTATTTCATAGAACACTATTAATACCCACAGATACACACAATTGTGTACCTCAAATGGCACGCTATTATAACTTAACCTTAATTTTACACATATTTGTCCAAACCAGCAATGGGGAAGATGTGGTCATTCACATATTGCTGGACCCTGCATTCTCCACCCTTATTCTAAACTGACTTGTGCACTATTTGGTTAAAAAAAAAAGTGGACTTGCCTTGCAGATCATTCATAAGTTCAAACATTCCAGGATAGTTAACTTGGATTTCTTCTGTATCCTAAAAATAGTAAGGTGTAAGTTTTGAAATATCTGTAAAAAACAATGCACTTGAAGTCCAGTAGAAAGGCATCAGAGATATGTAAATAAGACTAAACCTCTGCAGATGCAAAACATTATCTTCCTTTCCCATCCTGAGCTTTTTCCTACAGCAGTTCTTCATTCCTCTCCTTCACAATAATTAACAAAACAGTTGCCACATAAGCTAAAGGTGAATGTACTGGCTTAGTCAGTGCTCTCATATTCACTAGGGATTCCTTTAACCCATGATTGAGCTAAAATTGAAATCCAACTTACAGTCTGTTGCTACTCATCTTCCTCTTCAGTTATTATATATCTTTGTTTCCATTTCAATGTCACTTCATTTAAAAAGTAAATAAATAAATATTAAACAAAACAGAGTTCTTTCTGTCTTCTAGAGCAGGGGTCCCCAACCTTTTTTCACTCCACAGACTGGCTGGGGAAGGTGGGGCACCACCCATGCTTGTATGCATGTGCGAACAAGCACTCTCTCTTGCATGAATGAGCACGTGCTTGTGCGCATGCGCAAATGATGGTGCGACGCTCAAGCGCATATGGCAGGGCGGCGCTCCCATGGGCACGCTGGAGTACATGCGCATGCGCAAATAAACTGTGGGGGGGCGAGTGTGTGTGTGTGGGGGGGGGCATCCGGTCTGTCTCAGCGGCCCAGGCCACGGACTGGCACCGGGACGCGGACTGGGGATTGGGGACCTCTGTTCTAGAGCATGAACCACCACTAATTTGGTTCCTTAAACCCTTTTGCCTGTGGCAAGACTCATTGAAACTTAACAGCCTCTAGATTGCTTTGCATCAAAATGGAAAAACTACTTCTGATTAGCACCTGTGGCAATTTTCTGGGCTGTTCTGTTTTTGAAGCTGATAATTACCACAGTCAGTGTGTTGAAGCCAGCTCTTCCCAGAAGATGTCCCAAGTCATTGACAGCAGTAAAAGGAGACACATGTGGGGAAAATCCACCTTCTCTTTCCAATTCTGCCAGCTGCAAAGAGCAGCGGAGCTCAAACAATGTGTCTCCCCCGAACATGGAACCGATAAATACGCCATCAGGTTTAAGGACGCGATGTATCTAAAATAAGTCACCACAATATAATCATACATCAACAAATGTTTTAGTGTAATAGCAGTGTCAACTTTGGCACCAATACTGTCAAGAACTTCTACCTAAGACTGTTCTTAGAGAGGATAATAGGTTCATACCAATACAGTCACAGGACATGACACAGCCAAACACAATACCAACATTCCAAGCACTTGAACAAGGGACACTTAAAAAGCATTAAAATTTTTTTTAACATACAGCATACTCATTAAGTTGCCAGACATATAGAAGAGTTGCTGTATTTGATTTCCAAAATGTCCAGAAACCTCTAAAAATTAAATGATTGTTCCAGGAGAGGTTTCTAGTGGGAAAAGGTTAGGGAACAACCATCACACATCAACTGCAGACAATATCAGGTAGCAGGAACATATATTGCACACTAAACAAAGCTGTAGGATTAAATTAAAGATAAGAGGAGCAAGGCAGGGGGGAAAGGCTTTGTTTTCTAAAAGATAGTAACTGAAATCCAGTAATAAGTTGCAACAAAAGTAGGCCCATTCAGTTAGTGGAAACTACAGAGGAGTTAACTCACCAAAATCTCCACTAATTTAATGGGCCTACTCTCGTTGTGACTTCAGCCAATATTGTGTAATGAAAATTATAAATATGATTCCTTGTTGACTTTTGAAATACTGTACTGTATTTTTTTAAACACCACAACATTTAGATATTGCAATAATAGAACTGTTTAATAGGAAAGTGACTTACAAGCTTATTTATGAATCATTGAATAATCTTCCTCGCAAGCACCTTGCCCATGGACTCTAAACACGCAGCAATTTTTTTTAAAAAACTACTCTTCTAGAAAGATTATTAATAGGAGATAATCTTCCTCGCAAGCACCTTGCTCATGGACTCCAAACACTCAGCTATTTTTTTAAAAAAACCTACTCTTCTAGAAAGATTATTAATAGGAGTAAAAGACAAGCTCTATGACCCTCTTTATAGGGGCAGTGGTCCATGTGCTTACCTCATACAACGCTTTGGGAAGATCATTTACCCAATGTAAGCTAAAAAGAAGTTAAAATGAAAAATAAGTTAATAAAAAGTGCACAACTTTCTCAGTATTGTAGATTTGCAGCAGGCATGTTGGCACAAAGGGAAGTATGTTAAATAATGGAATCAAAATAGTTTAAAATAGCGAAAACAGGGCTGTCAAAAAAAAGCGTTAAGCGAAACAGGGGACCTAAAACTGTCATCGTTAAGTGAAGCAAGGTCCCAAATATCGTTATGCGAAAATCCCCCATAGGAAACATCGTTAGGTGAGGCGGCAAAATTTCCAGCAAAGGCCATCGTTATGCGAATTCATCGTTGAGCGAGGCACTCGTTAAGCGAGGCACCACTGTAGTGAGAAGGGGTTAACACAATGTTTGTGAGCCACATATGCAATGTGGTACTTTATAGATCTGCTTAGACAGAGGGTCCCCTGTGTTCAGTGTTGTTTCTTTTCTGCTTGCTCTTGAGAGTTCAATGGGGTTTACTCCCTGGTTTACACATGACTGCAGCCTTAGAATCCTGTTTTTCACCATAGCTAATACAAACGTCAATCAAAATTGGCTGGAGGTTTAATTAAACACCTTGGGAGTATAGTCACATTAAATCAGTCTGGTGCTGAGCACTTGTTTTTACAGCTAAGAAAAAAAAATCAAATGCACATATGCTGTTGTTTCCCACAGATTGCAGAGAGAGATGCAGTATGTAAAGTAGTTCCAGAAAAATAAGATTAGCATTTCTAAGACCAGCTGAGAAGTTAATCCAATTATACTTTTTAATTAATAAAGAAACAGCAGAAGCCTATCCATGCCTACTCAGATATAAGGCCAACAAGGTCCATGGAACTTACTCCCAGAGGGCTGTCTTCTATTCTACAGTGCTCTGCATGTGCTTTGGAACATTTCACCCTCCATCCTCCCTACCCCAGTCTCTTGTAGACCTTGAAAATCTACACCAGGCTAGCAAAGCAATGTACAGTACTTTGATAGAGTACATCGGGGTGCATTCAAAAGGCAAACTCAGCTTTCACTATATACTTCACATCATGAAGAATATACTTTACTAAAATGCTTTTTTGGAATCCCAGCTTCAAATGACATATCTATACAAATTATTTCTGCTAATAGTAAGGGGACGATGCTGATACACAATACTCAATGCGCCACTTTAGAACTAGCATTTTGGACTGCAGAAAAATATTTGTTTATTTCATTATGAATGATTCTATTGTTAGTTACCTCAGTCCACTGACGATGAGGTTGAACGTGTTTTCTTTGAAAGGAAGGAACTCTTCGTCAGCTACAACACTGGCTCTGGGTATCTCCGATTCTATTGTGTTTTTCTAAACCACATTAGAACACAAATGTTTAGCACAAATGTCAGAAAAGCTCTTTCATTTTTCATTATCATGTATGAAACAGCTGGAACGCAGTCTCTTACCAAAGCGTTTTCAGCAATATCTACTTGAAAAAGCCTTTCAACGACATCCTAAAAGAAAAGGTGAATCATGTATTATCTCCAAATGTGTTATTGAATTTATTTTGCAGGTGCAAAATAAAAGACAGAGCATTAAGAGGAATACAGCACGGGTTCATATTGCCAAGTGCCCCATTCTCTCAAAACATTACTGCATAATGTATGCCAACATTTTTATTCCTTGAATTTCCTTTGCATTTTTTTAAAAAGTGAATTTTAAAAAAATAAACAATGGTGCTACAAACAACACAAATGTTTAAAAACAAAGGGACTTTGAAACAGATTCATGAAACATCAAATATTCTTTTTGAGATTACAAGTAGGTGACCTTAAATCTAGGCTAAATTCTATACATAATTTGATGGGAATAAGCCCCATAAAATTCAGTGGGACTTGCTTCTGAGCGGATATATGAAGGATTCTATTGTTAATTTTTTATTTTATTTCCAAAACACCTGTCCAATCCATTTGTGTTACATTCCAATGCTATGTCCATTTGTTTGTGCAAAAGTCCCACTGGGTCCAATGAGATTTCCTTTTGAATGATAAAATGTACAGTTGGCACAAGAGAAATTGCCCCCCTTCTTTCTCACATCTTCTGCTTCCTGTATAGTCGTGTGTTGTGGTCACGTGGCATATAGCCAGTGACAGTGGTTCATACGTTTTTTAACCGATTTGCTTTTGGGGTGTGTGAATTAGATGTAGCACTTTGTCTATACCTCCGGAGTAGGACATGTCCTCTTCCTTTTCTTGTGGCTCTCTTTGCCCTCCTTCCCCCCTTTTTCAAATTGTGCGGGTACATTGATATGTCAACACAATGCCCTTGCTGGCCATGTACTGATCTGGGCCATTTCTTTCTTTTTCTGTGGTGTTACCCTCCATGGAGGAGAACCCACTGCACACTGCAGTGGCAGTCAAAAGACAGGAGGAGGACTCATATTCCGTATTTGACAAAAGGATACCAATGTGTCAGCATTCCCATTTGAAAATTAATTTTAAAAATTAAGGGATTCGAACAACAGCGGGTGAGGGAGGTGCAACCGCACACCAGATGCATAGGAAACAAACTGGTTTCGGACTACACACTCAATGGGATGTCAGCTGTACTGTGTGATGAAATGCAAACAAATATAGTAGTAGCCTACCAGTGAGCTGGATTTGATGTGGAGATAGCATGGAGGAGGAACAAAAGAATCAATAATGGCCTTGCACTGTCTGAAACACACACACACACTCATAAAATGGATTGAAATTCTCAATGATTAACTCAGAAACATTTTGCTAGTGAGACTTCAGGCATGATCTCTTATAATGCTGAGACTTAGGTTTGCTCTTTGCTTATGACTGTTTTGGGGGAGAGTCAAACTAGAATCTCGGATGCCATAGTAAATAAACCACAGGTAGAAGATTCATGGATTGTTTACCTGTTCCCAAGTGTAGGAGGACTAAAATGAGAGGATCAGGTAGTATGGACTTGCACTCTATATTAAGCCCAATAAACCAGGATTATTCAGAATCCTGTCACTGTGACATCTGGACCAACACAATATGACCAAACAAAATGGGCACTACTACTTTTTCAGAGTACTGAGTTTATTTCCAGCATATAGCAGAGGTTGATCAATATCTTAGTTCAGTTTCTGCAACTCAGTTTCACAGGCTTAGCTATGTAAAATATAATACCTTGTTTAAATGCTGAGCTATGTAGCTTCGTCCACAGCCAAGGTCCAAGGCAAGGGGAAAAGTCCTTTAAGAACAATAAATGAGATTAACTTGCAAATATGCAACTCACTAAGGTATTCAGACCACCATGTTTTGATGTAATAGGTATTTTTAATGACATATTTTGGTGGAATTCATAGTTTTCCAAAAGGTTTCTGCTATCAAATGGCATTGATATTAGAAATAACCTTAGGTTTCATCTGGTAATGCATATTTAACACCATAAAGTACCAATTTCTCTCTCTGATGAAGTAGAAACCATCAGAAAGGCCTTCCTACATAAGAACATTCACACTTAAATCCTATGAAAGTTAAGTTAGAAGTAAGTTCCACTGAGTCTAGTGAGGCTTAATCCCTAGTACAGGTATTAGGACAGCAGCTTTAATCAGAATTCCCAGTATTTGCCTTAGCATCAAATGAAGAAACATTCACTATTACATTCATTAGTTTCAATTAGGAAAAACACGCAAATAGCTGAAGCCTCTTCCAGGATATCTTTCTAAGATTTTAGAATTTGAAGGAAACAAAAACATGGCTGCAACTTCTAGAAACGAGTGGCTTCACTTCCAGATAGTTGATAGGAAAGCTTATTCTAGAACAGAGGTTCCCAACCTTGGTTCCTCAGATGTTCTTGAACTACAACTCCCAGAAATCCTGGTCAGCATAGCTAGTGGTGAAGGCTTCTGAGAGTTTTAGTCCAAGAACATCTGGGGACCAAAGGTTGAGAACCACTGTTCTAGAAAATATAGCAAGACTACAAATAGTTAAAGCTTCACTTTACAGTAATCTCAAATTCTGCAGCACTGCCAAGAGAAAATGGAACTCGAAGACCGAAGAAGTATAATTTTTAACAAGATAGAAATCAAGCCCTGGCCTTACTTCTTCCACTTAATAAAAAGGCATCAACATTTAGTTTCCCAACTATTTTCTAAAAATCTCTTCAACTTTATGCTATATGTGAATGGGCAAATTAGTTTGTGAAAAACAACTAGGCACACAGTGTAGACATGCTAGTATCTTACCTGGCAACATCAAAGACACGGTCAGCTAGCCTACCACCAACCTGTAATACAGCAAAAAGAACAACACATTTTCTGTTGCTATCACTAGAGCTAATCAGTGTTGCTTTTACTTTTGATCTCAGGAATCCCATCATTTGCCTGAAACAGATATGGCAGAACAGTGGCTCTTTATAGACAAAATGGTAGCTATGAAACTGAATTTGAAATTATAGTTCAAGGCAGGTTTGTAAACAGTGGTAGGGTGGAAAGTTTGCATTAACTTTCATTTGCCACTCTGAATGCTGTAGACCAGGGGTCTCCAAACTTTTCAGAGGGCCACAACATATATGTTCCAGATTTTCAAGGACGAAGATGTACATGCGCCCACCTGCACTCCTGCACACATCCCTGCCTGTCCACCCGCACACCTGCATGCCGGGCTGGATAAAAAGGCAAGGCAGGCTGGATGTGGCCAATGGACCACAGTCCGGAGACCCCTGCTATAGACAATGGGGGGGGGGGAAATGCAGACCTATGACTAAATTGCCACATCATGTTTTTTATTTTACTAGGTGGCATATGAATTGGACAACTGTTTAACCTAAGTTATGGAGGACTTTATCCTCTAAACTTGTATACAACCACTTAAATAATCATGATATTAATCCACTAAACTAATAAACAATCACATTAGTTATCCACTAGAGTGTTTTGGCTTAGGCTTCCCTGTGTCCTGACCCACGTTTGCTCCAATTCTGCTATTTACATGCTTGCCACAGAGAAGCAATTAGAACAAACCAAAAACTGGGAAGCTGGGAGACAAAACACAGTTTACTTCACAAAGAATAAATGCTCCCTCTTGTTCTTCCAAAATGCATTAAAAGATCTGCTACAGGCCTATTGAGCAACTACAAGAAAACTGACTTGTAAAGAAATGCTCGCAGCTCTTTTACTTTGCTTGGGATTTTCTTACTCCTCTTCAAGAAGGTAAAGTAAGGTAAGTGTGAAGCTACCTCTCCTATTTCCCTATTTAATGGGACAGTTGTGAGGGAGAAAGAAAAGCCTTTCAGGATCTAGAAACCAAGTAAGGCATGGATACGAGAGCTGGATATGTTTAGAAAAGAAGATACAGAGGTGATATGGTAGTTATCTTCAAGCATTAGAAGGGCTACAATGTAAGTTTCTGAAGTTCCAGAGGACAGTATCTGACCCAAACAAACAGAATACATGAAAGGAGATGTCTACATTGGGAAAACTTTTGTAGCAGCAAGAGTTGTTTTGGCTGGCTGGATAGCTCAGTGGTTTAAGTATCTGGAGGTGGAGTCAGGTTGGGTGTTCAATTCCCCGCTCTGCCTCCTGTGAGAAGAGCCAGCCTGTGTAGCCATGGGCAAACTGCACACTTGCAGGACGCCCCCAGATGAAGGGAATGGGAAACTACTTCTGCTTATTCTTTATATAGAAAACACTGAAAAATGTCACCATAAATCAAAATCAAGACAATACCAAGAGCACAGACAGAATAACTTAGGAGATGATACTTTTGAATGCCTCTTTCTTGAAACATGACAGTTGTTAGCATCCTCTTAAAGGATGAGAGGGAAGGAGTTTGTTGTGCTTCTGCCAGGTGCCCATTCCATGAGAATGGGGCCATGACCGAGAAGGCTCAATGTCTGGCTACAGCCTTTTTCTGCCTCTCTTAGTGTGGCCACCTGGAGAAGTAGGGCCTGAGAAGAACAGATGGTATGGGCTGATCCTCTGAGGGAGAGACACTAACGGGCCCCAAAACCCTTAAGGGCTTTGTATAATAGAACAAGAGCCTGGCTCAGAAAGCAACAGGAAGCCCATGAAGGTGAACCAGAAAGATGCAATCAAATTTATTCACACCCAACACCAGTCTGGCCACTGCATTCTGCACCTGCTGCAATCTCTGAGCCCTGCCCTGAGATTTTTGAGGTCCTTTCCAGTTCTATAATTTTAGATGTCTAAAGAATAAGATTCCTTCATGAAGAGAGTTGAAATGTTTGCTTAAACATTGGCCAAGACCAAACTGTGGATGACGATGTGGGAGACCCCTGATAGGTTTTCCAACGTCCCTTTTAAAAATATAGCAACAACTTCAAGGAAGAAGGCAGATTCTTTTTTTTAAGACACAAGATTTCTCTGTCCCCCTGCCGGCCGGCCCCAGTTCTTCCACATGCCATTGTTCCAATTCAATCCAAACCTTCCCAAATCTAGTATTAGTTCTGCTAAGAAAAAACAGTAGCAACAAGAACAAAAATAAAGCAGCCTTCTCTGTTATACATGTTCATTTATTTCTAGAAAGGTTATTAGCAGCTTCAGGAATGGGTGTCATTGAATTTTTTTTTTTTGGAGGTCACTAACTCAAGGGGTCGCCATAAGCAAGAAGTGACTTAATGGCACCTAACAACTTAAGATTAGGAAAGAAAACAAACAAACAAAAACACCACACCGTAGAATATCCGCCCTCAAGCCCTGCTTTCAAACCAATCCTCCCACCACTGGTTTACAAAACAAAACAATTTGGTAGAATGACACCCAGCCAACAGCCCCTAGTCCAGCTTCCACTACTCTTAGAGATGGCTCAAAATATTTCCACCCAACTGGGCATGCTGGGATTCGCTATCCAATCAAATCCCACTCTTTGGGCAGATTGATTGATTGATTGATTGATTGATTGATTTATATCCCGCCCATCTGGTCTATACGACCACTCTAGGCGGTCGTATATAGATGATTTCTCTCTAGATGATTTCTCAAAAGCATCCCCGTCGATGGACCAAACCCGCCCGCTCCTCCCTCTTTCTCCCTCGCCCTCCTTCCTTCTTTCCCGGTCAAGGAATGACGACCTCCTCCCGCAGGTACTCGCAGCGCTGAGCCTCCGGCTGGGCGGCCGCCCAGTTCTTCTGCTTCCTCTTCAGCTGCCGGTCGAAAGGGTTGAGCGCTCCGGGACCGCTGATGGGACGACGGCCCGCGGGAAAGGGGAGGCGGCGGAGGCGGCGGCGGCGGCAGGAGGGAAGCCCCGACCCCCAGCGTGCCGCCACGGGCTGGGCGAGGAGAAGGCGCCCGGCTCGCTGAATCGCCTCCATCGCCGCTTCCCCGCCTCCCTGGCCCGAGAGGGGCGGGGCAAAGCGAGAGCGAGCGGCCGCTGTAGATAGAGATATGAAAGGATAGAGTGACGCGCTCCGATTCGGGAGGGGGGGTTTCCCCGTCTGCGCGCGCAGACCCTCCCTCTCGGTGGATTGGGGGGGGGAAACCCTGCGGCGCTTTTTTGCAGGATTGCCCGGAAAAACCAGCCCGGGAGCTGCTTCTGGCAGAAGAGGGACACCCTTGCAGTCCCTAAAGAGAAGGGGCGAGTCCGTGGGTGGCTCTTTTTTTTTTTCGCAGCAGGACGAGCACTGAACCGTGTTTCTAAACGTTTGAAAACGAAAACACCGCACTTTCCACCACTCCTGTAAGACCTGGAAAAGTCCGGTCTTTAAATTCGGGGTGGTGGTGGGGGGTAGAAGATACGTATTTAAAGGGATACAGAAGTACTTGGTTTCCCCCATTTTTTAGCTTTTTGAGCCCGCCTGCGAGAACGGGTAGCGTCGGAAGGGGCAAGAAACGAATTCTAGTACTCGCTGAAAATAAATAAATAAATAATTTTTAAAAAAGCTCTGCGCTGTTATCGAATCTGTGGTTAGATTGGAGCGGTACGGATAGGAACGGATGCGTATTTCAGCTTCCAGCCACTGGTCGTAACTCTTCCGAGTGCAGAGTAGGGGGTAGGGGGCTTCTTTGACGAAATGCATAGAAAACTTTGAACATTGCACGCAAATACCGTCGAAGGGGGTTAATTAAACATTTCTTATTCTCTACGGTGCCTTCTGGCATGACTGATCCCGCGTCCTTGGGGAGGGATATCGGCCCAGAGGGCCCCCCCCGCCTTAAAAGGTGTCCGGAAAAAGTCGCGTCCCACTTGTTGCGCCTCCGTGAAGGAGGGGCCGCCCAAAACTCTTGTCCTCCACACACCTCAACCCTTGCAGACGGGTAGCTTCAAGAAGCCGAGGGGGGGATGGGCTTTTCAGGACAACAAACGCGCGGGCGTCATTTTGGCCCTCGAGGGCCGCCGTGGTGCCTCGCGCCGAGTTCCGGAACTGACGCGGAAGTTCCTGGCAAGAGGCGCGTGAGCTGCGCGAGGAGGAGCCGAGGCGGCCGGTCGGGGAGTTGAGGCGGCGGCCGGTGTGCGGTCGTGGCGTTGTTGCGTGGGAGCCCGTTGGCATTTTTTATTTATCCTGTGGACTCCTTTCCTGAGGGTAACGTGTCTGCGCGCCGTGTCCCGAAGTCGGAACCGATTTATAGCGACCCTTAATAGGTCCTGAGTTCCTTTCAGGGTAAGGAATGGTTGTACCGCTTCCATGGCCGAGCGGAGGATTCGAACCCTGTTCTCCAGAGCCCCATCACTCGATCCGCTACACACCACACTGGTTTCCTAGTGGAGGTTAATGGAGATCGGTTTTTGCTTTTACGTCTTTTATCCATTCGCCTTCCTCTTTTTTTGCGATTTACGTCTCTGGCTGGCAGAAGCACGGCTTTGCCTTCTTATGTTAGTTGAGCGGAAGGAACTGCGGCTTTTTTTGGGGGGGGGGTTTCTCATAGTCATTAACACGAACTGCGTATTTGTATCTATGTATATATATTGTATGTGTATATTTTTGGGACTGTATACATGGTCTTTAAGCAACTGGAAACTGTAATTTTATAAAAACAAACGCATACACAGAAAGTATGTATATATGTATGTATATATTTAACATGGTACAGTATTATGTTCCATATTGTACTGTACTTCCTTCCTATAAATGTGCTTAGGATGATCGTCAGAGGGACCTCTTGTGTTTCTTTTTGTTTTAATGGTACATATAGTGAAGCAATGAACATGTAGAAAGGGATAGCTAACTTTAGTGCATGATTTTACATAGTGTTTGAAGCAAATATGTATGTATATATTTAACATGGTACAGTATTATGTTCCATATTGTACTGTACTTCCTTCCTATAAATGTGCTTAGGATGATCGTCAGAGGGACCTCTTGTGTTTCTTTTTGTTTTAATGGTACATATAGTGAAGCAATGAACATGTAGAAAGGGATAGCTAACTTTAGTGCATGATTTTACATAGTGTTTGAAGCAAAGTTGGATTTCTGGGAACCTCAGATGCTTTTGAAATTCTAGTTCCCACCCTGGCACACCATTGGCTGTGCAGAGCAGATTTTTGGGAGTTGCAATCCAAAAATGATCTAGAAGGCCCATTTGCCCATTCCTGATTTGGAGAAAATAAGGGACAGAAGAACTTATGTTGTAATGTATGGTATGCATATCTTACAGTGCAGAAAGTTCTGGGTTTAATCTCTAAAATCACCAGTTAAAGAAGTCCAGTTAACATGGTTGGGGGAAAAAATCTCTGTTAAATTAAGTATACTGGTTATGTAAGTCCTAATCAAAATCTCAAACAATCAGATACAGATGCAATATAGCTTCTGATTTATTTTTTATTTTTTCTAAAAAAATTGTGGTGTTGTTTCTAGTGTAATAGTATAAACTTGAATATTCAGGCTGCAGATGTTGCTAGTCACAGGGAGGTGGAGATAGGAGCTCTTTTGCAGCACTTGTTGGCACAAGGGGGGCATTGAGGAGTGGTGAATCACACTGAGATTTCAAGGGTATGCTATTTTAACTTAAATAATTTCCCTCAGAGTGAGAGTGGCAATGAGTGCAACCAAGGCAGGAGTCATGTTCTGATAAATACCCTACTACTCCTTTGTTTTAGCTGATTTCAGGGAGGCTGTGAAGGCCCTGAATTGTTATCTGAGATTAGGGATAAACAGAAATTTTTGCTAAGAACCATTAATTAAGGAAAGTCATAGATGCTTTTAGTCAGGGCTGATCTGGTTTTTAGGGGTTGTCCTGGCAATATGGGATGGCTCCACAATAACAAGAATGTATCTGAAAGCAGAACTGTTTTTGCAATTTATTTTGGCTTTGGCTTACCTGCATCTTCTCCGAGAGAAGGTGGATCAGGCCATAGTCTCAAATGTCAGGGTCCCAACTGTACCTCACAGTTGATACGGTGGAATTTGAAAAGTAAGGACAAAGGCTGAAAAAGAAGTTTTTGTATCTTGATTGTGACATGAGGATTTAAGGATTAGGTTTGTAACTATTTCTCTCAAACATAGTTTTGGAAAACTATTTTAATGTTTGTTGTTGTTTTATTGTTTTATGAGAACTTGCTGATTTTAGAATGAAGGATTTATTTGTTCTGCTTTAAGTATGACAACTCTTAATTTTTTTTCAATAGGTCAAGTCTGAATTATTGAAATATGAAAATGGAGCCTAAGAAGGAGGTTACTAGTGACCAGCGGTTTTCCCGCATAACAAGAGACCCTAGATTTTGGGAAATGCCAGAAAAAGACCGCAAGATCAAAATTGACAAAAGATTTCAGGCAATGTTTCATGACAAGAAATTCAAGTTGAAATACACAGTTGATAAGCGAGGACGTCCGGTTAATCACAGCTCTACTGAGGATCTGAAACGATTCTATGACATTTCTGATTCAGATTCTGATCTTTCTGATTCTGACCAAAATAAGACTGGAAAGAAAGTTAAGGTGGAAAAGTCCAAGTCTAAAGACAAGAAAGACTCTGACAAATTTCCTGATGGCAGTAAAAAAAGCAAAGTAGCAGATCATAAAAGCTTACTGGTCTCTCAGTCTGATACTTTAAAAAACAAACAACAGAAATGCAAGATTATGAAAAAGACAAATGTAACTGAATCTGCACGAAGTAAGTATGTTGGACTCAAAAAGCAAAATAAAGAATCTGCATCAATTGTCTTTACAGAAGAGTGTAAAAAACTGCATGATAAGTCACTTAAGTTGCAAAATAATAGGTTGGTTGAATGTAACTAGCTTGTTATCTCTTTCTGGCTCTGTTATATATTTCTTTGAAAGTAAATGCCATTGGACTGTTTTGGACAAGTTGTATATTGGCTTAGTAAGAGAAGTTGTGCAGAGTGTTTTTGCAGAAGCATATAGCTCTTTGCTGCACTCTCAACAATGCACAGTAGTTGAAGCACCAGCTTTGTAACTACAGTTCCTGTTTCACCTGGACCAGGAATGTACAGATACCACCTTTGGAATGTGTTTCAAAAAAGAACTAGCTGAGCCTTTTGCTTGTTTTTTTCTTTAAACAGCATGTCTAGTTTGGTTTTGAGGGGAAGGAGGGGGAAAGGGATGATCAGAGTTAAACTCCTTTGGAAAAAAAAAGCCAAAATGCTATCGCTTAGTTATGTATGGAAAAGGCAAATGGCCTAACATTCAGTGGTTTCTTGCTGGCAGTTAATAAGTTCTATTGGAATTTTCAGATGTACACCTAGCCAGTAGATGTATGTGTCTCTAAGATCCCAGCGCCAACTTGCTAATTGCTACCCATAAGCTACTGAATGTTACCTGGTTGCTTTCTACGTGTGTGCAGTTGAGCAAGAGGATTCCAGTCATTGTCACTTTAGATGACAGTTTTGTACCTGTGTGTTAGATGTACTGCCTGTTTTTTTTTTCAATTAGGAAAACAAGATTCTTCTGTCAAAGATGTCTGCAAATATGATTTGGAAAATAAAGGTTCTGAAAATGAGGGAAGCTTAGATCTTGAAGACTTGGAAGGCAGTGGAAAAACTGATGATGGAGATTCAGAAGAGAATGGAGAGGAAAGTGATTTGGGAGATGAAGGAAAAGGAGATTCAGAAGAGAATAGAGAGGAAAGTGATTTGGGAGATGAAGGAATAAGAACAGAAAGTGGTGGTGATGATGATGATGAAGAAGAAGAAGCAGAAGAAGAAGAGGAGGAGGAAAGTGGAGAAGAAAGTGAGATAGATGACGAAAGTGACAGTGGTCCAGATTTGGCAAGGGGAAAGGGCAACATAGAAACTAGTTCTGAGGATGAAGAGGAGAATGATTTGGCTGAAGTATTTCCAAAGGAACCTGAAGTCATACATGGATGGGGAGAGCTGGCAAAAGATGCCCCATGTGCAAATATGGTGAGATTTAAAGTAGGGTAATGTGACCAATGACCCTCTTAAGAGCCCCAGCCAGCAAGACCCAATGGGCAGGAATTATAGGAGTTGTAGTGAACCTCTTTAGACAGCTGATTTGTTTACCTCTGGCTGAAGGAAGGGTAAAGCACCAGTTAAGTAATTAATCATTTAAACAGTGTTCTCACTATAAAAAGTGACTTTCATTGTGTCCTTCTGCTGATATGCAGATACCTGTTTCAGTATATGCTATGTCTGGAGCAAATTTGTGCATGACATTAACTTTTAAAAGCATGACTAAAATTCAGATGCCCTGCTTAATGGACAGGCAGTTGGGTTCTCATTTCTAAAGACTACACACACGAGCATCTAGCTAGTAGATGGGTGGGTACTATAGTACCAGTATAAATTTAATTGCAGTAAACTGAACCTTAGTAGAATGTAATACCTTTACATTGTTGTAATTTGTTCCAATAAGTTCTTTTCATGGCTGTCCTATTGTTATAATTCATGCCAAAGAGGTCCCATTTCCCAACAAGCTCCAGTTGCTAGGAATCCTGCAGTCTCTAAGCAGCAAGTATGGGCCTTGTGATGTCATCGCCTGACATGCAAAATTTGACAGTGAGATGTTCGTGGCTTGCTACGGCCAGTGTCATCTCAAAAGTATCTCACTACCAGCCTGCTTGCCTAGACCTGCAGTGTGATTTACTTGAGGAAGCTGCAAAATATCAGTTAAAACTCTGGTTCTGTGGTCTTCTTTTTGGGTCTAGCAGCTTAAGCGGGATAACTCTGGCGACATCTACTCTTGGAATGGACAACAGTGGAAAACTCTTGATGTGACATATTCAGTAGTAGTGTGATAGGCACATTGGTAATGTTTTTGTTTGTTCGTGTTATTTTAAAGCAGGGTAGGAATCTGACGATTACATTTTGGATGATAGCTGTACTCTCATAGGCCATGGAGGCTGGGAATTATTGTAGTGATGGTTCAAAATCTGTTTATAATCTGTTTATCTGTTTATAAATGAATGTTTGAAAATACAGATCACGAGAAGATTGGCAGTTTGCAATATGGATTGGGATCGACTGAAGGCCAAGGATCTGCTGGCTTTGTTTAATTCTTTTACACCCAAGGGTGGTGTAGTTTTTTCTGTAAAGGTAAGTACTTGTTTTGAAGAGAAAATGCAGCTGATAAGTAGTGAAAGGAGGAGACACCTTTTCTCTTGCATATAGTTTTGATTTTGAGGCTGCCAAGGATTGTAAGATAGGTGGGAGCATACTAGGAAAGAGACATTTTTCAGTAAATACTTGGCCAGGGTTGTAAAAAGGACATCGATTAGGTTGCTGACTTTTGCTGTAGCACAGTCCATTTCACTTGGAAATTAAAGAGGATGATGCTTGGGTGTTGACATTGGGGCAGGAAACCCTTAGGAAAAAAAACAAAGCACAGAAGGAATAAGAGGCCAGGAAGTGGGAGTGAAGGAAGCAGGAACCTCTTGACTCTCAGAAAATAGCACCACATCTGAATTTCCAGAAGACACACCTGTCTAATTTATATCTGATTAGAAATAAAATAAGGCTTCGGCACCCTTCACACCCACAGTCTTGTTCTGATACGTGGATGATGACACCTTCACAATTTGGAACCACGGCAGGGGGGAGGAGCTTCGTCGTGGTGAAGCTAGCAGCTCTTGGGAATAGCTCCCGGGAAAAGCTAGAACCGATTCGGTTGTGGATTCCCCTAGAAAAGGGGATTCGAGGGGAGGTCAGGAGAGACCTTTCTGTAGCAGTTTTGTGAGCCGCAGAAGTTAGAAGATTGGGCAGCAGCTCGATTTTTCTGTCTTCTGGAAATTCACATAAGCACGACCGAAGACAGGCGACTTTTTTGGCAACCATCCAGGACAGCTCCGTTCGCTGAGCATAAGAGAACAAGAAGCACCGCGAAAATATACAATAACAAGTAAGTGGAAGCCCTTGCTGTATGAAAAAACCCATTAAAATGAAGAGCAAGTGAGTGTGGAAATTTACGACCAAAAAGAGATAAGGAGCGGCGTATTTAGCATGCCGGCTTGCATTGCAAATGTGAAAGGAAAATAGCTCTGTCTTCAGCAAGCTGTCCAAGGTCAAACTGATTCAAGGGAACAGAAACAGCTTATGTTTTTATAAAAGAAAAATTCCCGGAGAATCAGCACTGGACAGGCTTTGAGAGATTAAAACTTGGTGTAAGCTGTTCACTTTGGACCTTTTTTTCCCTCTGGACATATATTCTTAGACTGTGTGGGACTCTGATCTTTGTGGATAATGCATTTTGCAGGACTCTGACTGGGAAACTGAGCTGGACTCCCCTTTCTGGGGAAGGAGAAATAAGCCTTTGGAGTAAAAAGAAAGAAAACAGACTGAGCTGTGAACTGAGAGCCATACGGTTTGATTTGAACTTAGGACTTTAATAAATGACATTCTGATAACACAGCTCTGCCGGGTGAAGGTAATAATAAACTTTGAGAACAGGAAAGAAGAAACAAACGGTCTGGAGGCTGGTGGCGAGAGAAGGGATTGAACAAAATATCTGAGAAACTCATGTTTTAAATTTTATTTCCTGTATGAGTTTGCCTGCTATTTTTTGATAAGACTGTAATAGTTATAATTTAACACATTGGACTTGAGGTGGATTTATATATCATGTATATTTGGGCAAAAGGGAGAGGGAGCTCCAAGTGAGGGACTGATTTGTTGATAAAATAGTGGAAACTGAATAGTGTATAGATCTGGAAAGATGGAACTGCTCCCCGA